TACTTGCGTTTAATGTAGAACGGCCTTTGAGTTCCACTTTTGTGGAAATACGGCTAAAACCAGCGGCTGAAACCGTCGTAAAAAATTACAATAGGATGGCCGCTCTCAGATTTCTCTCTGGTGGCTTACGATATTCAAATATAATTTCTTAGCGATATGTTTGACGGCGCTGATGTCTGGCGTAGCCGGTAGCTGGCGCGCTCTCGCGGCTGACATCTTACACCTCCACCTATATTCTACCATAGACGTAGAATATACAGAGTGTTCAAAAAGTTCCGGTACAGCAACATAACTCGAAAACTAAGAGTCGAACAGAAAAACATTTCAGACAAAAGTTGTAGGACTTTTCTCTGGCTATTACCACGTGACCTTGGATTTGACCTTGACTTTGACATTCAAGATCATTTCAAGGTCAAGTCGTTTTTTAAAATAGAACTCCATATTTTTGACGCCGGAAATGGAAAGAGCAGGAAATTTTACGGGTATGATCTTCACTAACCCCCTCCCTTGACCTTGTAGTCAAGGGCAAGGTCAATAAACAGCCGGTTAAGGCAAGATAGGAAAGGAACTCAGTCGGTTAAAGCAAGGTAGAGAAAGAATCTAGGCATTGCCTCTATCTTGTTTATTGTGTTTGGCCGAATTTACATTTCTCAATTTTAAAAACTTCAGAGAAGATTCATTCTTCATTTTTTATTAATTATATTTTTATATTAGATTATTATGTTGATTGGCAAAAGAGTGAGAACTTTGATGCGTTTTCTGATAGGAAACCATTTACAAAATTATGTGACGAAATCTTGCACTAAAATTGTAATTTTATTAATTATACAGATATATTTTAGGAAATAGATGTAAAAACATTGGTCTTTTATAAAATATTTGTAGTTATTTGCAAAATTACTTTCCAAATACTATTTCGATAAAAGAATAACGATATGGCGAATCATCTCAGCAGTATATTTGCAAGATAAATTTCAAAAAGAAATTGTCCAATAATTGAAAAAATAAATTGCACATAAAGAAACCAAGTTACTTCATGTACATGCTTACAGAAATCCACAGAGATTCCTAAAATTTCATGTAGAAATATTGCACATAAAATATTGCACATTGCTACAGCAAAATCAGTTAACGTTGTCGAACGAATTTGCTAATTTTTGACAAATATTATTTTCAAAGTTGTATTCTGACCAAACTGTTGCGTTATGGCGAATCGTCTTAGTGCAACCATTGCGAACTTTCGTCAATTCATGATGCCATTTTCGTGCAATATTTTCACAATTTGCTTATTTGGGGATTTTGTTAATAAAATTTAAATCTAGCTTAATAATTTAAATATTTAACGTAACACTTGCAGTTTAATGCACAGATAGATTTACAAAGATAAATATATATAATAACATTCAAAGCAAAGCGTTTTATTTCGAAATTATATGTGCTTTATCATCTTTTTCTTATCGCCAGACAGTATCAGACATAAAAAGCAAAAATAAAAAAGAAATGTACAATGATAAAAGAATGCTGATAAGCATTCTGTCATATAATGTACATTATAAATTTTATATTATAAATTTTTTATAGTTCACACATCTTGTTATTTTAATTTTCTCTTATTCTGTTTATGCTTTTTTTCGTAAACAATGAAAATTTGTCTTATTATCCATTTTTTAAATTTATCTTATACAATATGCACATTAATTTAAAACCCGTAAGTGCACCAATTAAATTACTTAGATTTATCGATATGTTTCTCTTCCAAACGGCAACTCCCTGCGACAACATCGACAATTGCGTACAACAAGTAAAGTGAACATGCTTTATCATTTATTTATTCATGGCGCTAATTACATTGTATTTCTTCTCAAGACACAATCCTAATAGCGTTGAGAATGTCAAGGAACAGGACACTTTTTGGCATATTGGTAGTACTAAAAAGATTGTCTTTATCACTCATAATTTTAAAAGTTCTCCAATTACTGAATTTATTTATGATTTGAGTACGCGAATCGCAAAGGTAAATATATTAAAAACAAACAATTCAATTTACATCATTTATATAGCATATCTCTGATAAGCACCAAAGTTTCGTCAATATCAGATTGTACTAATTGTTAGTAATAAATGGTGGTTTAAAAATAAATTCACATAAAAAATATAATGATATCTTGTTTTTAAAAGACGAATTTTGAAAAATTGTCACTAAACATTGATTTTTTTTTATGTATATATTACAGATAAATATATCTAACCACTTAAACTATATAATTTTGTAATTAACATAACTACTAAAAGTTTTTTATATACAACTTTGTTAATAAACTTTGAATCAAGGTTGATAATTTAAACTACAATAATATGTAAACTCGGCAGGTTTATAATGCACAGACATGACTACACAAGCAGAGCGTTTTATTTCAAAATTATATTTCTTACGCTGTATTTATCGTCTTTTTATTACCGAATCTAAAAATAAAAAGCACAATATAAAAATATAATGTACAACAATAAAATCACCGATAAGTTTTTCTGTTATATATTGGCATTATAAAAGGAAGTAAGTCTTCTTCAGAGTTCACACACACAACCTTTAATACTGTTGCTTCGGTTTTCTCTTATTTTATTTGTGTTTTCTATCATAAACAATGAAAACTGTCTCACTTATTGTTATAATTTATCTTCTACAATATGCACATTCAGAACCCGTAAGTGAACCCGATCCGTTGAAAATAAGCGAAATCCCATTTGTTTCAACTCCCTGCGACGACATCACAAGCATATCGACGGTTGCGTACAACAAGTAAGAAAAAAGCGAACATGCTCATCACTCACTTGCTTATTGCGCTAATTACATTATATTCGATTTTCAGAAAAAATCCTGAAGGCGTGAAGAATGTCAAGGAAAAGGACACTTGCGGTTATATTGCTAATAATAAAGAGAAAATTGCCTTTGTCACTCATGGTTTTACCTCATCCCCAAACGCTAATTATATTCACGAATTGGCTTCGCAGCTCGCACAGGTAAATATATTCCAAGAGAAAACATTTCAAGTCTAATTATCTATATGGCTTTTCGTAGTAAAAACAATGAATTTTTATAATATCATTACACTAATTGTTAGCATAAAAGTTGGTATAAAAATAAACCTACATAGAAAGTAAAATTATATTATAATCTTTGTTTTTGCAGGATGATTATACAGTGTTTTCAGTAAACTGGTCTCAAGGATCATGCGATAAAACTCTTTCATATTTATTATATTGGCCAGCATATGCTAAAGCATCGAAAAACACTCGCAAAGCAGGAGAATTCTTGGCAAAGTACGTTCTAAATTTTTTTAGATACTTAAAATATACTAAAATGAAATATAATTACATATAACATCATATTATCACGTCTATAAATTCTCATTTTTTATACGTTTGGAAAAATTACTTTTTTCTGGAAAACAAAGTATAACAGTATTAATATTTTTTACAAAAGTTGCGGTATGAATAACTTTATTGTTAAATTCTCTTATACTACGGCCAGAATATTTTAATACTGTTAAAAAACAAAGACAGTACTAAGATATTATGATGCTATTTTTTTCACATATTTCTACAAATATGTTTTTTGTGTTCTTTCAGCTATATCCAACATATAACTGAAACGTGCAAAGTGCCACTGAACAATATAGTTCTTATTGGCCATAGTCTCGGTGCACATGTAAGTGGCTTTGCTGCAAAAATTGTCAAGTCACGTAAGATCGGAACAGTGTCACGTATTTTCGGCGCTGATCCCGCGGGACCAAACTTTGCGTCTGAAAGTTGCGACAAAAGACTTTGCAATACAGATGCCGAGCGCGTAATTGCTCTTCACACAACTACGCTTTTGGGAATAAATGAACCCATAGGTCACCTCAATTTGTATTTCAATGACGGATCGAAACAACCAGGATGTGGTAAATATTATGCTTAATTGAAGCGTTTAGAAGAATGTTTCTGAAATAAGTGGCCACACAAATTAAAACTAAATTAAATTATATTTCAGAGGATGACATAGCTAGTGCGTGCTCACATGCCAACGCCATTAGATATTTGACTGTAATGTATGCTTTTGACAGAAGCAAGTGCGTATTTCCTGGTGTTCCTCAATTAAAGAAGTAAGTTTACTTCGTCAATTAACGATACATTTTTAAGATCGGATTGACTCGTTAACTCCACCTCTCCCCAAAAAAAATCGATCGCATATTTATAAAATGAAAACTTAAATCTTTCGTATTATTTCTACGCACAAATTATACTAAAAGAAATGAAAGATAAAATTACTTGTAAAAATATACAAACAAGCGTACACAAAAGTAGCAAATAAGTTCAAAAGTACGCGCTTATGGAATTCAATTCAGATTTTTTTCTGTGATTAATTTGTTAATACGTATATCTCGATATTTTTACAGGTTTGATAAAAAAATGCGTCCTAATGGTTCGACAACTAATTGCATAGTTGTCGACAGAGCAGTGTTCAACCAGAACAAAATCTCGCCGGGATCATATACTTTATTTGTTAACGAAAAACCTCAGATCTTCTGTTCACAAAACACATTCCCTAGGTGTCAACAATAGAACAGTTTGTTGTTATTATTTTGTTACAATCTCTTATGACATTTTTTGTCATATACATGGTAAAATTTGTTATAGCAAAACAATTTGTATCTTGCTATTAGCAATAAATTGATTTATCTCGACTTTTACGAAACTTTAATTTATTTAATAAATCGTCATTTTTTTCTTCACAAAAATCGAACATCAGTATGATCTCGATAAACGGTCAAGCGATAATTAACGCACGTGAGAACCAGCTTCTCTCTATCAAACACGTGTGTACGTTATGCTGAGATCTTACACGAGCTATTACACGCGCGCAGAAGCGAATCCGTTCCGAGCGCATCTCTTCTTCGTCGTCGTTGTCTTCTCGCCGTTCGGATACGCGCATAACTACAGGGCGAGAATAGTCGGAATCGCAATTAAAAAAACGGGGTGAGTGAAGAAAATGTAAGTCTTCTGTTGAAAAGTTTTAATACGAAAATGTTCTTTCTTTACATAGGCAAGCGCTGTTGTACATAGCAAATTGTAATAAACTTTATGTAATATATAAACAACATCAATTGTTCTCTCAACGGATCTCTCGCTGCGGTGAGATTGTTATTAATCCTCGAGTTTCTCGTCTTCGAATTTAATGTAATCTATGGAACATTTGATGAATTATTCGATACACACATACAACAAGATTCTTTTTTTTTTTTTTTATTTCTTTGTTTTTCGCTTTTTTTCTTAAACGTTTGTTCAAAAGCGCACGTACTTCTTCTTCGCACATATTATCGGTTTGTTTTTTTTTTTTTTCGCTGAACTGCTGTCGCACCAAGTCAGAGTTTTTTTTTTCAAATAAACGAAGAGTCGAGGATCTTTAAGTTTAAAACTACTACAACGCGAAATTTAATCGGTCAATGAGAGCCTAATACTGAATGTGCGAAATAAATAAATAAATATACATATATTTATATTTCTCTATGTGTAAATTTTACACGTGAATTTAGCGAGAGATTCCAGGCTCGACTCCTGGTTTGGAGGTGTTTTTTTCGCAATATAATTAAATTAGAGAGCACTTCTCTCATATATGTGACGCAAATCCAGCATCTCTTATGAACTTACAAATTGAAATTTTAATTCAAAATTTACACAAAGAAATATAAATATAAATACATATATATATATTTATTTATTTATTTATTTATTTCGCACCATTTATTTTTCTATCTTCCATTTAGTAAAAAGAACGAACTCTGAAGTGGCGCAAAGTTAGTTCAGTGAAAAAGAATAAACCACACCATTTCGTGTATAATACAGTAGTATACACACAAGAAAAGTTAACGTTTCCGTAATAATCTTTTATATAAATCTTGGACGTCGCGTCGTCTTTGTTTGTTTTACAATGTGTATACAAAGTGGTGAACGCGAATGTACTTACGGTACAGAGTATTTTCGTAAACAATACGCTCTATGTGTGTGTGTGTGAGTGTTAATATGCGACCCTGCTCCGACATCTAGAAAAAAGTCTATTAACTGTAGCATCTCTTTACACATTGACTAATATAGTCTCGAGCACGTACGCGCGGAGCACTCTAATGTTTCGTCGTAATCGATTGTCCTATTTTGTTTCTGTTGCATCTACTACGGCAATATCGTATTATATCGCCCTCGACGCATCACACAAGCAGCACCAATTCACATGAGAATAAATAATTATACACGCGAGAGAGAGAGAGAGTAACATCCTCCCTCTCTTCCAAAAAAAAAAAATATCTATCTCTTCTTCCGTTCGAGTGTCGAGAGAAGAATAATAGGATTATAGACGAGTTCTAGTAGAATTCCAGTAATTTTGAGCGCGCGGCACCGAGTTTTTCGAAAATTTCGAAATTATTTTCTTCCCCTTCCAGAGTTGACGACTGATTGGTAGCAAGAGACGAAAGATGTCTATTTCTCTTGTACTCTTGGAACAGAGATGTAAATGCGCGTCTCACGAGTTGCTGAATCGCTCAAGAATATCGAAGAATCATCAATAGTGAAGAAAAACTATTGGTCCATCTATAAAGGAGAAATCGAAACGCTCGAAATTCGCTGGAGTTCTACCGTGTAGCACACAGCGCGACAGAAATATACACCCAACGAATTTTTCACAAACGTACGAAATATATAAAAGATGGATTTTCATCGATTTCCGCAATTTCTTTGCAAGAGGTGCGTGAACCAATGCGGTGAATTTGGCTTTCGTCCAAAAATCGCGCATCTTTGTTTTTTGTTATCAAAAACTTGATCGCCTCACGGTAAAGCGCACCATAATAATCCCGATCGTCTACTCCGATCTGACAGTGGAGAGAACACTTTTTAGTATCTTAGCATGTAATTTTGATATTTTGTATCGTCGTGTTTGATTTGTATTGCGTTACTCGCGCATTTGGAAACTCGACATGTGTATCAAGCAGGATCGAATAACGCGTCATACATTCGTCTCTATAGAGAGCAACTTGACTCGCGATAATAGAGTATATACTTACAGATGATGAGTAACGGGCAGGTCGAGAGCGCAAGAATATCTCGGAGTGGTTTTGTTTTTTTGGTTTTTTTTTTTTTTTTAAACAGACGCACGTGCGTTCGCGGAGAATTGCGAAAATCAAGTTCTTTGTGTGCTGAATGAAGGGCTCGACAAGTAAAATGTTCAGTTAGTTAAATTTAGTTCTTCTATTAGTATTCAATATCTTGTATATGAAGAGACATCTCTTACAATTTATACATAAATTAGAAAAATATTAGAGAGAAAGACTCTTTTTTTTTTTTTTTTTTTTAACTATCATTGTTTCTCTCTTTATATAATTTACTTAGCTCTCCCCTTTCCCGTCCCTATATATCAAGACCTCTTGTTAATTCGCAAATATACGTTACGTTGTAACAAGCGTATCTTTTGGATAGAGACAATACAATCGCGCGAGTACGTCGTAAACAAATGTTTTAGAAAGATCACGAAACGATTATAAACAATTAAACGATATTATAATACAAACAATTAAACGATATTGTAATATTCTGTAACAATTTTCGTTCGAAAAATCGCGGAACAAATATATACAAATATACACAGATTCTCATACACCGATCGTACGTGAAAACGACACTGTACGTGAAAAATACATGTTACACTTATAAAACATAACAACAAAGTTTTATTATAATTTACGAGAATTCGCTTGACGTGTGAGTTTAAAACTTTCGAACTAGTTTGACACGAGTCGTTGGCTGTACATGTTCAGCAAGAAAAGGGAAGAGCAAGTCTCGTGTGTCTGCTCATCAAGTAAGTAAGTAGGAGCGTCTTGACGAGCAGGACCGTGCTAAGGTTGTTGGTCGCCGCCGTGCCGCACTGATCCTTGATCTCGCTCTCGCGGGGATGCGAGCGTATGCAGGACTGCGGTCGTTTCCGTTTGAGAGCGGCGAGCGCCTTCTGACACACCAGCGTGTTGTTCTCGTAGATCACCTCTTCGGGTATGACGCTCAGCGCCGGCGACGTTGTGTCGCCGCAGTCGGTGTTCACGATCAGCAGCAGCATGTTGCTGAAGTTCACCGGCTGCACCACGTACGGCCGCACGCAGTCCTTGTCCACCTCCACGTCGTATGTGTTGAACGAACTGTTGCGCAGATATAGATACATCTGGGAACATGGAAAAATCGTCGTGGAGAAACGAACGCGGAGATCGATCGGACCTGGAAAATTGCATCGAACATCAAATCGCGCGACTTTACCTCCTGATCGCACACTTCCGGACGCGTGCGATTAATCAGAACGTGCTGCTCAAAAACTTTTTCCTCGTCCTTCAGCTCGGGCATAGGTTTCTCCTCGTTTTCGTGATCGACGTCGTGACCCTCCATCGGACCCTCGTCGCTTACGTAACCGCCGTACGCCTCCGCGAAATCGGACTCCACTATGCCAGTTTTCGCCCAAGCCCAGGCAACGTTACCGACCATCCACGACAGCGCTTTCTGTAGGTGCTTCCACGGCTACGTACGATGCAAGAATTTTTGTTAACTTTAACACTATGTGATTTGATGATTTTTTTAAAAGTAACATTTTTGCGATTTCATTGTTGTTACGCAATTTGACTTTTCTTACTGTGAGAAGCATGTCGGCGGCGTTGTTGGTGTCGGTGTTCTTGAAACATACCGCCTGATAATCATAGATCCTTATCTTCTCGAAGACGCCTTCCGTAACTAAACTCATCATTATCGGACCTCTGACCTCGCCGAAGAATCTACCGGCGTCGGCCTCGTCCTCAGCGGCGATTATATAACCGTTGTTGTCGACCAGATAGCACGCCCAAGAGTTGTCGCCGCAGTGTTTGTAGCAATTGCTGTGCCCTTCGCAGTTGAACGTTATGTTTTGAAAGAGCGCTTGCAAGGCAGTGTGCTGAAACTGGAAGCCAACCACCGCCACTGGTGCCTTCTGCTTGATTCCTGTATAGTTTTTTGTTTTTTTTTTTTTTTGTTGTTGTTTTAAATTTGGCAAATATTTTCAATATATTGTACGTTTCTCTTCGCAAACGATTCGTCTTACCGATGAATATGGCACGACTGGCGGTGACCAGAGTGGTGTTGTCGGCTCCCTCGTCGTCGAGCGGCACGGAGTAAACGAAACTGTCCGGATTCACGTAATACTGTTCGACCGCACGTTTGTACCACACCTCATCGATGGCTCGGGGATACAACTTGCTGAAGTGATCGTCCGGCAGCGGTACGTCATCGTCTATCGGAAAATCTTGCCATCTGGTGAGTCCGCTGTGCGTAGCTATGAACGCCAAGGTCACTCCGAAGCGTTGTTGAAACTCCTTCCTACGGGAGACAATACTTCAGGAACAACAATTGAGTTCGCTCTCGCAACTCGAAACACTGAATTTTACATTTATTTGCGCTTTTACAAAAAAGCAGCGAGATGCTGAAGAGATTTGAAACGACGACGTACGGGAGCTACATCGAAGTAGCACTCAAACTCGCTTGTTTTGCTATTTGTTATTGAAAAACACAATTTCAATTGTTATTGAAAAACACAATTTTACAGAAAGATTTTATATTCTTACGTTGAGATTTAGACGGATTTTTTGTTAAAAGAAAAACGAAGTTACGGGATATTGTAAAGTTCAGACAACAGCAAACACAAGCGGTTGAATACTTTTTTTTTTAAAGACATCATTACGACAACCGATCAATAGCGTGTGGAAAAAGTTTCCTCTTGAAACACAATTGTATATACAATCGGTTGTAAGATATTCTTTTCCTCTTCTCTTCCTGAAAAACGTTGTTTGCGATGGCTTGCAAGTTTTTTACGTCGACTTTAAAATGACGAAAGACGAGAAAAGAAAGAGGAAAAAATAAAAGGAACGAGAAAAACATATTTTTTTTTGACCAACCAAAACTACATTGACGAACAAATACTTTTTACACACAGTGTTTTCTAAAAAAAAAAATTAAAAGCGTATTCAAATCTAAGCAAAAGAAAACCACATACGAAAGGATAATTGTTCGTTTTGAATTCCAAACTTTCATTTTTAACCAATCGTAAAAAGACCAACAACGCAAGAAATATAGAAACAAGATAAGAAATAAGACAGAGTGAGGAAAAGTTTAAAAAAAAAAAAAAACCATTCTGCAACGGAAAGAGAGAAAGACAAAGTGAAGAAAGAAAAGATAAGAGAGGAGAGAAAGAAAAAAGGGAAGAAAAATTATATAAGTTAGTTTGTTACTTTCTAATAACTTAAGGTGCGATGTGATGGCGTTACCTGGTCATCTGATTCATCAGCCTAGCTAAAGGTCTGCATGGCGTCAAAGTGGTAAATATATTAGTTAAAAGGAACAAGGTGCATTTTTTATCCTCGTAAAAATCCAGAAAAACAATAGAGAGAGAAAGAGAGACAAAGAAAAAGAGGAAAAATATATGTAGTGCACAAAAAAATTGAACAATAAATAAAACAAAAAACATTCGGGACGAAATATTTGTGCAAAAAAATGAGTATATCTGTTTTTTTTTTTTTTTGTAAAGTTTAATTCAGATAACCATGAACAAAAAAAACCATGAACAAAGAAACAGAATAGAGAAACAAGCATTCGCTCTAAAAACGCGTTAAACTAATGACCAAAATATCTTCATGATAAAAATATCTTCAAATTTTATTTATTTATTTTTTTTGAATATAAAAATATATAAAACTTCCTGTTCAATAAAAACAAATAAGGCGCGACGAACAAGTCTGAAATTTTCGGCCGACGTGGGAATTTGGTCACGCGATAATTTATTAAGGAAAGGAAAATTCATTTTCTTGAGTAGTAGTTTATTCATGTTACGTGTGGCGATTTGATATGCCAGAGAATAATCTTAAATTATATGCTCACCCTGGCGGTTCCTCTCGAGGTTTCTTTTCGAGATTCGGTGGGGTTTGCTGGGCAAACCATTCGGTTACCTTAGCGTCGTACACCAGACTGAGCAACAAATTTCTGTCGCAGTAGTACGAGTTGTCGGTCTTGTGAGGATTAGCTGTTGAAAATTAATCAGCTTAGCGTCAAACAAGTTCAGATTTTCATTTCAAATGGTCACAAAACGATTAAAAACAAATTGCCAAATCTTTCAAAAAAAAAAAACATGTACTCGATATATGCGTGCAAAAGACACGAGAAGAAGACCGAGAGAATTTGCGAACTTACAATGAAAACTGTAACTCGAACTCGAAGCGGAGTATTCCGGCGGAGGGGATCGTTGCTTCATATCGATCCACTTCCAGCCTGGCTGACGGGTACGCTCCAGAAAGTGTAGGAGCTGTAACTCCGAGGAGTTGAACCTATGTTCACCCTCGTAGTGGTATCTGTGAATGGAAGAAATTCGCGCAACGAATTTATACATAAATTTAATATTTCATTGGCAACTTCCGCTGTTCTGCGCGAGTTTGTTTCTTTTTTTTTTTTTTTTATTTATATTCTCAAGAGAATCTCGAGGAAGATTCTCTGCAGTTTTATGAAGAAAATGCGGCAAAAACGTCGTTTACAAATTACGACAAAAAAACTGGACTCACTTGCAGTACATCCAGTGGGGGTGAACCCGCCAGTTACTACCCGCGAAGTAATCCGTCACGTTTTTCCCTACGACAGTGTAATGTAATTACGTGCAATTAATTTATTGCTTCGTGATAAAATAATCAGCAATTTGCTGAAACACGCGAGACACATTTAATCACATCTGTTCGTGTGAAGATGACGCGGCGAGAAATTGATTGAAGCAATAAAATAGATACCTTTTGAGTGAAGGAGATGTATCTCTTCGGTAGCGTGTACGCGGTAACTTCTATCGTGCTCGGGCAAACTGACCACCACAGTGAACGGACTGTTCATGATTGCCGCGTAATCGTATTTTCTCTTCACTCTGCCCACTCGTTTCTAAAAAAAAAAAATAAACGCAACACGCGTGATACGCAATTGATCATTTACGTACGACGAAAAATAATTTACTTGCAAAATTACTCACCATATCGTCGTAATGATATTTTGTGTGAAGCGTCGCGCTACCGTTTGTCTGACTCACCACGTGATCGCGAAGCTGCGTAAAAACAACAACAACAATAACTTATTTGTTCAATTACTCGCATGATGTCACCGAAGTTTTTATAAAAAAAAAAAATCTTTTTATATTATTAATCGTAAAAAAACAAACCACTTGTACAAAAATTATCTTGATATGCCGTAAAAGTCGAGTGATTCAAAAGATTTAACAAAATAAATCTTTTATTTACCATGATAATTGCATCGTCAAATTCCCTGGGGCCTTTGTCACTGTCCATCAATTCGACCTCCGCCATATCGACGCTATTGTAAGCCGGTTTTAAAATACCCTGGAACTATTTTTACACCACACACGTTATGTTTATCACTTTATTATTATTATTATTATTATTATTACGCTGTATTATTTTTATTCTATTTAGCTGTTGTTGAAAATCCCAACATTTTCGCAAAACAGATGATAAACAGAAATTTCATGCGAAATATAAAAATTTTAACACGTTGACAGAAACACACGCATGGGTGCAAGACACGTGACAAAAAGCGTGCGAGAAATGCATGTTTGCGTTAAATGTAACAAATAGAAAAGAGCATTACCACTGGGCGAAGATCGGGATGAATTAGGATGAAACCATTGTTGGTTACGATGAACGCGTAGCCGTTGACGCCGAGCTGCTCCACGCGAGGGAAGAACAAGTGGAAAAAAGAGAACACTTTTTTGTATCGTCGAGATGATAATTAATTGCGAGTTCTTCTCGCGGATCAACTTAATCGGCCGATCAAGTTAAATCAGAGACTATGAAAGTGATCCTATGACTCACCATATGAGGCATCATCAGTTTCTGGATCTCCTCGATTGGTACATCGGTGCCGGCGACGCCGAGCAGATTGGCAATCATCGTCTGCGCAGACAATTATCAGTATGTTTATAATGGGAGGACCTGATGCGATTATCTAGTAAACTCTTCACTATCATGTCATGACAACAATATAAGTATGTCAAAATATGTATTTGTATATATATATGTTTGTACACATATATATATAAATTACAAATTATCATCATCCCAAGTCGCATAGCCAAAAGCGTATCTACCTTCTCCAACAACGTTCTATTAATAATAATAATAATAATAATAATAATAATAATAATAATAATAAATTCGTCTACAGAACACATTTTAATATATGAAGAAAAACTCATATCTATGTGTGAGAGAGAAATAAATCTCCCCTCGCGCGTACGTATATTAAAATAATATGAGCTCATAAGATATAATTTCGATCTCCAAGATGCATGTCGCACTTTACGCACTATTTCGAGACACAAAAAATACACATGTGTGTATAAATGAGAAAATATTTGTCTGTGGCATAATAATTTTTTACTTGCATGTATGTGTGCGAGCGCGTGTTGTGTGTGTTTGTGTTTTTGTTTGTGTGTGTTTGTGTGTGTGTGTGTGTGTGTGGTTATTATTAAAAAACTTTACGATGAGATAGTCTCGTCAACTTTTCTTTTCTCAAATAAGATGTAAGTATTCAAAATTCTGATCTCAAAACTACTTACAAGTGTAAAATTGTGCGCGAGGGACGAATATACTAAGAAGAGTGTAATATCTCTTGCATTTATAGACATAGTAACTATATATAGCGCTCAACTACTATCTCACTATAATGTGTAATAATAATATCAATTAACAATACTAATAATAATAATATAATAATAATAACAACACGGCGACCTGTGACAGGTGATCGTCGCGATGCGAGGTCCTGTCACAGGATAATGTCTCGCCTTTGTAGATATATTTGATGACTAGGGCATGACCCGACGATCGAGCAATGCATGTAATACTGTTTTTTTTTTTTTTTGTAATAATAATAATAATAATAAAAATAACGAGAAGAAAAAGGCATTTGAGTCGGCGACCAGTGATCAGCCACAACCACCGCGGGGCGGGGTCCTGTTACGCACGTCGTCCGCACGTCCACCCTGCATCGTGATGTATCAAAGGTTGCAGGATGGATCTGACTAGCGGCTACGAAATAATAATAATAATAATAGTAATAATTGTAACTGAAATAATAGCAAAGAAAAAATAATTGATAATATGTACACACAATGATAACTATAATAATTTAATAACAAATTCTCTTTCTATAATTAACAATACTCCGACGCGCAGGGGCTACTGTAAGTGTTAGTTTTTAAGTAGTAATTAGCTCTTCTTTCAAAGCAACGATCCTCATCCAAAAATATATATTTTTTTTT